CGTGCAGCTGTTGTTGTTCCGTTCCGATAGCCGGTCGAAGAGCCGCGTCTCCTCGAAAAGGGGGCCGCGAGTCGCAAGCACTTCTGGCGTAATTAGGGGGTTTGGCTGAACATGACGTGACGGAGGGAAAGGTTTGAGGGGAGGGGGGGGGGAGGAACCCCCCTCCTCTCCTACTGGGACACAGAGAATAAGCAATGAGACGCCGTGGTGAGCGTGGGGTGAATCCAGAAACCACATCGAGCAAAGGGGGGAGGAGGGGTTGTGAGTTTGAAGAGGGGAGAAACAGAGACGGAGACAGCAGCGGCCCGGCATGAGACAGAGAGAGAGAGAGTTAGAGAGAGAAAGATGGAGAGGGAGAGAGAGAGGGGGAAGAGAGTGAGAGATAGAGACAGAGATATGGGTTGAGGGGGCGGCACCACGTCAAGGCACGGTATAGGTAACTTGATGGAAAGGGCTGGGCTGTCCGAGTCAGTGACAGGAGAGACATGCACGGTGCAGGCCAGGGGCAGGCGGCGGCGCCCGCCGACCAGCGCGCGCACCACCTCTAGCCTCTAGCCTCTCTAGTGCGTCGAGCTGCACAGGTAGGCACCCCCCCCCCCTTCCCTCCCGGATATGTGGGGAAGGACGATGGATGAGTCCGGAAAATTAAGGTCAAAACTCAGAAAACTACCCTTTAGATTTTCCCCATTTAAAAAATAATCCAAATTCTCAATTTTCCCTCGAGAAAATTTCAATTTTCGCATCTTACCCGCTCTAACCACCTACCCTCGAGAGTACCTGCATTCCCGAACGGGTTGGCATAACTGAAGTGCCGCACTCCATTCTCGACGCTTTACGAATTACAAGTAGGCAGTGCTACAAAGTGGAAAAATACATGTACAAACTCTGATGTGCCTAAAGCAAAAATGTATGTATGTAGTGAATAAAAATAATTTTATTTTTCTGTAAAAAAAAATGTATCCCTATAATACACAAAATTTAAAACATGTTCAGATTCCTTGAATTACAAACAAATTTTGGGTGCTGAACACAGCACTCTGGAGGAGGACGGGGACACTGTCAGACTGCTACGTCCTGGACGTGGAAGTATCGGTGACGGCATGCTCCTAGCCGTCGACGGCATCGCGGAACGCTACGAGTGGAGGTGAGGTGCACCCCTCAAAAATGCTTTTAAAAAAAACACTTATATTTTTGATAAGACCTTTACGTCAGAAGAAAACGCACTATGTTCACTACTGAACGTGTGGCGTAAGTTATGAAACGATACAAACGCAACAACACAGTTTAAAAGACTAAGAGACGATGCATCATTTCTGTATGCCATACTTGGTGCCATAAACGATACCGGGCATGTGGTCGTGTAACGATATCGTTGTGGTGTTCAGGCGACGCCGCCAGTTGCCTCGGATGGGTAAGCGCGGGCTGCGCCAGGCTCTCCGGCGCCTCCGGCACTGCTCCATGTGGCTCGTGCTGCTGCTGGGCTGCGCGCGCGCCGACGACGAGGCCATGCCCAGGCTGAGTGAGTACACGACCTGACAGAGGCAACGGGCAACATCGTTCTTATATCGTTTCAATACTTTTTCGAAGTCGTTTCGACATTTTCGAAACCGTTCCGATATTCTTCGATGTCGTTTCGATATTTTGTGTACACCGTTTTGATATTCTTTGTCCCCGCAGTGGTGGTGGCGGACGTGGGCCAGGAGGCGCAGGCCAACAGCCTGCGGGGCGGGCTGGCGGACGGCTGGGCCGCGCAGGTCGTGTTCGTGGACCGCGAGTCCGACATGGAGGCTGCGCCGGCGAGCAGCCCCGGCTCCACCAGCGGGACCACGCCGACCACCATCCAGGGAGGTGAGCAGGAAGGATACACTTCACAGTCCCGAGCACCTCAGTGCCGAACCAAGACCAAGAATTCTAAAGTCGGAAAACATTCCCCAGAAAAAATGGAAAAATCAGAAATATGTCCGCACTGTAAGCTTTTCACAGTGCGGATTGATTTAAAAGAATTGAAACTTTTCGGGTAATATAGGACATCTTGAAGAATAATTGTTTGAGAGTACTTTTCCGGAGAATTAAAGTCTCTAAAGCGGGCAGCCCCTTTGTTTCTCCAGCTCCGTTGCCTCATTTGCCGGGCTCCTGGCCGGGCCGCAGTTCAGGCTCAGGTGCGCGCGCCCAAGAGCAAAGAGTGCTCCGATTGGTTCTGGTGGTGCGGGTCGGAGGCCGGTTAAAGGCGCAGAGTGTCGCGGTGGATCGGACTCGGCTCTGCCAGGCTCTGCCGACTGCGACAGTCCGAGGGGGCGACTCTGCTGGCTGACTACCACGCGGATTGGGCCCAAATGTCTTAAGTCGTGGCCACATGCTGGTCGCGAGGAGGTCGGCGCGGACCATGCGGGGCTCCCACTATGTCGTCGTCTCGAGCACAGTCGACTCCTCGACAGAGCGAGGTGCTCTCGGGCGGGGCGGGGC